GTGCATCTGCTCCACCAGCTGCCCCGCGCCGACTTCCAGCTCCGCCCGGTGCCCAGCGGCTTCGCGCCCCAAGAGCAGGAATACCAGCAGGTGCGAGCGGGCACGGGGTCCGGGGCGCGGGGGACCAGAGCTTCTGGGTCCCGCGGGGGAAGAGGGCTAGGTGGCAGATCCCTGTGTTCTCTGGGGGTGGGCGCCGGGCCGGACTTCGGGGTAGCTGAGGGAGCAGGAGCTGGCGCTCCCCTACCGGGAGGTTCCCCCGGGACAGGCGCTGGAAAGCCAGACCCCCGGCTCCTTAAATAAGGGGGGCTGGGGCCTGGACCCCTGAGTCCCAGCGGAGGGAGGGGCTGGGGGCCCTCGGATTCCCAGGTCCCTAGGAGCTGCCTGGGAAGCTAGCCTCCAGGGTCATCAGGGGGATAGGTCCATCCTCCGCGTCCTAAAAGATGACCCCTTCCCTCCTAGGATCAGGACAGCCTCTTTAAATACGTCCCAGTTAAGGCGGGACCCAGGAGAGCGAGGAGCTGAGATGGTGGAGAGGGAAAGGGCTGGGGGATGCCCGGTTCTGGGACGGGGTCGAGACCTGGAACAGGGAAGGGGCTGGGGGGTCTTGGGGCTGGGAAAACCAGGTGGAGATGTTGGAAGAGGACACTTCCAGCCTGTCCCAGGACGGAAGAGGTGGTATGGGCGCTGGGAGGGTGTGGGGGATGGGGTTAAGGTTCAGTTTGGGGACTGGAGGATGACAGAATTGGGGCCAGAGGGTGGGGATGGGTGGGACCCTTAGGGAAACCAGGGTCCCTGGGGAAGGGGGCCCAGCCTGGGTCAGCTCCAAAAGGGGCGAAAGGACTGTCCCCTGACCCAGTTTAATTCAAGTCCTTGACTTTGAGATTAATGAGCAAGGCTTGGCTGAGCTGGGGATGGGGTGGGGGTGGGGGGAGGATGGCAAAGCCCCAGGAGGGGTCCTGGGCCCTGCCTGTTAAGTTCTAAACCCCCTCGAATCTGTCCTGGGGATCTCCCGGGACAGGGGGCCGGGGACTGGCAAGCTTAGAATGAGGGGGGGTCCCAGGAAAGCAGAGGGGGGAATGTTTGCTGTGTTCTGAGCTATTTGGGTCACGGCTGGGCTGTGCCAGCCATAAGCAGCTCCTCCCTGCCTACTCCACGCCGCCCTCTCCCCACCAAACGGGGACTACCGTCCCCTCGCCCACAGCCTCCCAGTTACACAATCCCAGCCTCCAGCACTGGTCCACGGACACCTGCTCACGGCCAATGAGACCTTCCCACGCGGATGCCCACACAGCCACATGCGAGGTCCCGGCACCAGCCACCACCGGAGGCACTCAGGGAGGCTCACTCTGTCCTGTTGACAGTCTGGGCGACAGCGCTAGGACATACGGGCACAGGGCACACACCCCAGGAAAGAACATTGTCCCCTAGGGAGCCCACCTCTAGGGCGACAGCTGGGAAAAGAATCCTGGACTGGGTGCCACCACGCTGGGGGTGATACACTTACACACAACCGATACACATTTTCACACATACTTACGTATACACACTCACATGCGCACACATATATACCCACATACTCACACTCACCCATACACATACACAGTCACTCACATGTATACACTCACACACAGACACCCACACTGTCACATATACACATGTGCTTGCACTCTTACACTGACACACATCCATGCACACATATATCACTCACATGCACACATGCATATGTTCACATCCACACATTCACACACTATCTCATACATACACACTCACATTCACACATACACTCACATGCACATGTACATGCACCCTCACCGTCACATACACATGTTCTTGCACTCCCATTCACACACATACATTGACACATGTGTATGTTCACATTCACACACTCACATTCACACACTATCTCTTTCAAACACATAAACACACACACACACACATACACCCCTAGAGACCACACACAGACTCAAGGAATCATGCCCAGAACCACACAAATGCACGCAGATCACTCTCACACCTGCAGGTACAGGCGCTCTTATACCCACAGACACTCACCTACACACGCGTCACGCACACCCCCATGTGAGGACAAAGCAGACACTGTGGTTAGGGGAAACAGCATTAGTGAGTCCAGCCAGAGGTCTGATTCCGTTCTCACTGTTGCCCCTAACGTGCTGTGTGGCTGAAGGTAAACCCCCGGCCCACTCTGGGCATCTGTGCAGAGAACAGGACCACATGGTGCCCACTGTAAAATCCCACTGCGTGGAGAGCCCTGTTTTCTGCAAGGCTTTCCCAGCTACACACAGGCTTCCCCTCCCTGCCTGTGTCCCCCCAGCCTTTGGTTCTGTCTCCATCTCTGTCCGTGTCTCTCTCCTTTCTCTGAATCTGCTTTCCTATCTCTCTGTGAGTTCTCCCTCCTGCATTCCTGCCCCCCTCTCTCCCCCTCCCCGCTTTCCCTCCTTCCCTCCCCCTGCTCTGTCTTCACTCTCTCAGCCTCCCAGTCCCCATCGCTGAGTTACATGTGCACACACACACTGTCATGGAGGCTGTGATGCCCCCTCCCCCTGAATCCCTGGGTGACAGACTCATGCTGCGGTGGGTGTGCAGAGCTCAGCATCAGGGGAGGGTGAGCAAGCAGTGAGTAGGGAGGATCAGCAAGGAGGGGGGAGGACAAAGCCTGCCCCCCCCAACCTCACACACACCTCCAGGAACAGGTGCCCCCCGCTGCAGCCCCCCAGCCCCACGCAGTTCTGGGGCCCAGGTCTCAGCATGGCCTGGAAGGTACTTCATTCCAACTACCTGGTTTTGGAGAGGAGGAAACCGGGCTCAGAGAGGGGAGGACCCCTGTCAAAGGTCACATAGCTTTTGGAAGGCAGTGCAGAGGTGGAATGCAAGACTTGGGCCTCCCAGTCGGAAGCTCCCTCCAGCCCCAAATTGCAAAGCCCCAGCTGCAGCCTGGGAGGGGACGCCATCTTTCCACACAAACCTGAAGGCCACGGATTGGGCTCCCCACCCCCACCCCCACTGCCAGGGATGCCTTCTGCCTCCACTGAGATCCTGGACCCAGAACCTCCAGCCATGTAGGGAGGATGCAGGGAGCCCCTCTGAGGCCTGACATCACCCTGTCTCCAGGCCCTGTTGCTGGTGGTGGCCTTGGCAGGCCTGGGCTTGGGCCTCAGCCTCATCTTCATTGCTGTCTACCTCATCCGCTTCTGCTGCTGCCGGCACCCAGAGCCCCCCGGGGCCAAGAGCCTGCCCCCTGGGGGCGGCTGTGTCACCTGGAGCTGCATTGCTGCCCTTCTCGTCAGCTGGTAACGGGGCCCCAGGATGGGCGGGAAGTGAGGCAGGGCCCCCCAAGCTCTCTGTCTGTCTCCCTGGTGGTGTCCCAGATGTCCCAGAACCCCACTTCAGCCCTGTGGCAGGGAGAATTGCTCCCATTTGATGGATGGAGAAACTGCATTCCAAGAGAAGCAATTTCCCAAGGGCAGCCGGCCTGGCAGGGTGGGGTAGGAGGTTAAGAGCTGGGTTTGGTGGCTCTGCCGTGGAATCACAGTGCAACGTAGGGGAGCGATAGCGTTCCTCCAGGCCTCAGTTTCCAGGGCTCTAAAATGGGCAACATAGTCACACTCACCTCCTAGTCGTGGTGAGATTAAATGAAATGTACAGTGCCTGGTTCACAGCTGTATTCCATAAATGTCAACTAGGGATGTCATTCAGTTACTCATCCATTCATTCATTGAACAACTATTTTCTGAGTACCTACTATGTGCCAGGAGCTACCAACCAAGCCAGACCTGGTCCCTGCCCTCCTGGAGCTGGTGTCCCAGTCAGGGAGACAGGGGACCAGCCAGGAGCAGACCTGAGCCGGTCTAAGTCCTTCCCGCAGTCACCGTGCTGGATTCAGAGCTGTCACACCCAGTCTTGAAAGAGGAAGGCTCAGGGAGAGGGAGGGGCAACTTTTCCAGGCCACGTGGCCCCAGCGGCAGAGTGGAGAGTCAGACCCACAAACCCCTGGGAGCCCAGGGCCTTCTTCTGGGACACCCTCAGGGGAGAGAGCAACAGGGCACGTGAGGACTCGCCATTTACCGAGAGCCAGCTCTGAGCGCAGCCCCCAGCCTGGCTGGGGTAGCACCCACCTCGTGGGGCAGGTCGCGGTGCTGAGGACCCGCCCCGGACCGACCTGACCTGGGGGTTGTCTGGGAAGCTGATGCCCCCACCCCGGCCACTTCGTAGGGGGCAGCAGCGTGTGTGTTTGGGGGTAGGGGTGGGAAGGAGCGGGGCGTGGTGGGGGGAAGTCCTGTACCCGAGACGCCTCCTCTTCAGGCTCTCCTGAGTCGGGGCGGACGGGGGAGGCGGACAAAGGCCCCGCGGGGGAGAGCCACGGCGGGCCCCCGCGGCCAGGGGACAAGGGCGGCTTTGTAGCACAGTGAACAATGGGCCGGGACGCTGCGGCCGGCGTCGGATCCCAGGGCTGGGGGTGGGGG